TTACTAGCACTAACTCTTGTTGCCCTTATGTAGGTGTTGATGAGAAGTGTAAAGGACTAGCACTGGAATCTCAAGTTGAATCAATTGGTGGAAGGAATATTGAAGTGTCAAAGGGAGTTTTCTCATTTAAATATTGTTCTACACCTTCTTACCATTTAGTTAATAATGTCCCATTCTTTCTTTATCTGATTTCTGAATTGTTTCAAGTTGAAGGTTATTTTGTGTTTGTAGGTTGTAAAGCTGTCCAAAAATTTTCAACTATGACTAAAGAGTTGCAACCTGATTTCCTGCTTGTTCCAGCTGCATGTTGCGCGAATGCATGTGATTCGTATGGAGTGAACTTCACTTCATTACTGCCGCTTATGTTGGGTGATGGACACAAGTGTGTCAATCAAGATCCGAATGCTATCCTTACCTCACTGGTTCGTGCTTCTAGGGAAGTGCAACCCGATTGGTTGAATGTTCCACCTCCAGATAGGCAAGTTGCGCCAAATCAGCGACCACCAGGGAAGAATCATACCACCTTGAACAACCCGATTCGAAATTTCTCTAGCTCCCATGAGCGTCATTATGAAGATCCTTATCATGTGCATGAGAATGGGAGGCTGTTGCACAATTGTATGCCTAGGACCACTAACTATGAGATTTATTGTGTAGGTGACAATATGACAATTCATGGCCGAAGGCTGATTAGAGAGCTTTGGATTGCTACTTGGAATTTTCACGAGCCTTACACAAGCTCTTTCCTATCTTGGCGCATGTCCTTGTTTGAGAGCCTCATGAAGCTGACCAAACGACATTTAACTTGGCTCGTGACCTTTCATTTGTTCCCAACGTGGCTGACCTCCAAGCGCACTATCGATTTGAGGTGTCATACTACTAACTCTTGTTAGTATCATTCATCCCCATCTAGATTTGAGGATAAATCCTTCTCAAGTGGAGAGGACTGATGTGTGCACGGGTGGCGGGACCTTGAAGGCTTAAAGGATGTTAATCAAGTTACCTACACATTGATCCAAGCCCACGAGGAGCCAAGTGATGGTTGTTAGTTTGGGCTCTAGCCCGCTAGTTAGTCTTTGTAGTTTTTCCAATTAAAGGGAGTCAGCCAACTGTTGGGCCTTTTTAGTCTTGAGCCGTCAAGTTATTGTTTGGATTAGTTACTATTTGTAGGGCTTGTTGAGTCATGGATTCGGCCCACCTTGTCCAAGGCCTGGACGAACCTTTATTTCCTTTTTACTAGTATTAGGGTTTCGTTAGTTTGCCTATATAAAGGCTTGCTTTGTAAGCATTAAGGGGAGACTTGATTGATTAATAAAATTGTTTTCTTTCGATTTTCTTCGTGTGAGAATTTCGTTCCTTTACTTGCTTTTGGCAAGGGTTCTTGAGCAATCTCGTGTTGTTCTTGATTGTTCTACCGACCTATCCACTTGAGTAATCACCTCGATTGAAGTCGTCGTTCTACCGCCTTCTACCAATTCGTGTCGTCTGTGTTGGTTCTAGGTTCCGCAATCCAAGCGTTGGACAACCTCGCTAAATCTTTGGGCAATCGTGCTACGTGTCTCGAAACGTGTTGATCGAGGACCGTATCAAACAATATGAGGTTGATGACGAGCAGCATGTTCCCTAAGTCTCCTGGTTGTGGAAATTGTCTTGGTTGTTGCATTGAAACCTCAGTTTGTCTCTCTGAAATGCCATTTCCTCTTCTGCTATTAACTTCTTCCCTCTCTAGATTCCGGTTGCTTCATCTTCTATTTTCTTCTTCTTCACCTCCATCATACCATTTGAAATATTTGCACTTTGATCAATAGAAATACAACTTATCTGGATTTTTTTCACTCTTAGATATCTTCTTTGTTGCCTTTTGATTACAATACCAATATCTATTCCTAAAGGTGAAAGATTTGGGTGAATTCCATGATTCTCCCTTATGACTTGAAGAGGCCATAATTTATGTTGAATATTTTCGTTATGAGCTCTAAATGCAGCACAAAACAATACTTTATATGCACCTCAAATCTTGCTACTCACAATCATAATCTTGGGGGTATAGAGGTATTTGTGATGTTTATATACAATTATTGTTAAATAAAAACCTCAGGAGGTGTCAGTGCAAGTGTTAGAAATCTCAGGGGAGATTTGTGTAATTATGCCTAGGGTTAATCGCACTTTATCCCATTTAAGTATATGCCGTTTCTCACTTTAGCCCCCAACGTTTGTTTTTTCGCAGTTTACCCCAAAAACTAACGGTCACCTCTAATAGACCTAAATAGAATATTGAAAAGACAATAATATCCTTATCAAAACATTGAACAACCCAAAATACCCATATACGCTGGTTTATGAAAGGCAAGTTTCCAAAATTACCCTGAAATAATGGAGGGAAATTTCCCTCCGTATGGCATAGGACAGAAAAAGAAAAAGAAATTAGGGAACAGAACAGACAAAGGTCCCCTTTTGACTATGTCGGGTCACTTTCTCTTTCTTTTTTTCTTTGTCGCGTTACTTTCTCTTCACTGGTGCCCGAAGCCTTAGCAAAACCTCCACTAACAAAATTGAAAATTCTGGTGCAATCTTGAATGAAAAAATGGGTAATCGATGTGGTTGTTAACAGACGGCAGAATTGAATTTGAAGATTGTGAAAGGAGATTATGAGAGCTTGGGCAGATCTATGAGGTTCGATTTTGCAATTTTTTCTCGATTTTAGAAATTTCTAATTGTTAATCAATTTTATTGCACAGAAACAATGGTATGGGTTTTTTTAATGACTGCATGGGCTTTAATATGTAGACAATTATTTGTTTGAAATCTGTTAGTGTGGTCCCTTAAAGTTCATAACAAGTCATTGTCGGGTTAGGATGGAAAACGATGGGTTTGTCTTTTTTAATTATTAATTTGCTGGATTTTTTGTTTATTTGGATGGTTATATGTTGGCTGTTAGATAGACAAACTAGGATTTTTTATTTTTGTGGGACAATAAAATATACTTGCTCTGTATTACCTGTGCATGCACTAAAAACAATTACCTTTGTGTGATTACAGAAGAATGGACTTCAAAACCTATGTTTTAGAGGTTCACTACGGAGGCCATTTTGCCTATGTCCCAAATTTACAGTATGTGGGGGGAGAAGTTGCTAATTTTGATGATGTTGACCCTGATTTGATGTCAATTTTTGAGTTAAGAGATGCTTTTAAAGATGCTGGAATATCACATGAAACAGAGGTGTACTATAGGGTTAGGAATCTTGACTTTAAGGTTGGTCTTAAACTGTTAAACAGTGACCAGATTGTTATAGAAATGTTTGAGGCAAATAGAACTCAAAACATCATACAACTTTATGTTGGTGAGATCCCTGAAGAAGATTTGCATGCTGATAGAACTGTTGCAGAGGATAATATTGAGGTTAATGGTAAACAAAATCTAAATCCTAATGTTGATCAACCCCAAAATGATGAGGCCGAAAGTGATGCTTCAGATGCTTCACAGGAAGGTGATAGGGATGGTTGTAGGGAAGTTGAATATGACTCTGACTTTGATTTTTTCCTAGATGGGGATGATTTAAATGATGCATGTGACCCTATAGATGATGTAGAGAGGGATGGTGGTGAAGTAGATTGTCACCTAAAACAGACTGATTATGCTAAGTATGTGGCACTGATTAGTGAAGAATATAATGCATACCTTAACTCCAAAGGTCATGGAAAATTGGTCGATGATGAAGATGTTAGTGATGATGAAACACTTAAACCAGTTTATGATTCAAATGATGAAGGCATGGAGCATGAATTTCCTGAGTTTAACATGGAAAGGGATCTAAAAAATCCTGAATTGACTGTAGGCAGAATTTTTAGCAATATTTATGATTTTAGAGCTGCAGTTAGAATGTATTCAATTTTGAATGGGTTTGAAGTTACCTTCACTAAGAATGACAAAGATAAAGCTGTGGTTATATGTTCAAATAAATGTGGATGGAGAATATATGCTAGTGGCTATAATGGAAGCAAAGTTACACTTCAAGTGAAGTCCATTAAAGGCGTACCTCATAGATGTCCATGGTCTTTCAAGAACAAGAGTGCAAATTCTAGGTGGCTGTCTAGGATGTTTATGGAGGAGATTGCTGACCATCCGGATATGAAAGTAAAAGGGTTCAAGAAGAGCATAAAAAGGAAGTATAACCTGAACTGTACAAACTCTCAAATGTATAGAGCAAGAGAGAAAGCAGAGGAAGCAGTGAAAGGGTCATGTGCAAAGCAGTATGCAAGATTAAGAGACTATTGTGCTACACTTTTACAAAGAAATCCAGGTTCAGTGGCATTTATTGTAACTGAAAAGTCCAATATTTGTAAAAGTCCAATCTTCAAGAGAATGTTTGTGATGTTTACTGCACAAAAAGAAGGTTTTGTAAATGCATGTAGGCCTGTAATAGGACTGGATGCATGTCACCTTAAGGGGATCATGGGATGACAGCTTATGTCTGCAATTGGTAGGGATGCTAATAACCAGATGTTCCCAATTGCTATGGCACTTGTTGAATCTGAATGCAAAGATAGTTGGGGGTGGTTTTTGGACAGCCTTACTGATGCCATTGGCACTCCAATTGAAAGGGGTTGGGTGTTTCTATCAGATAGACAAAAGGTCAGCACCACTACAATCTGATTTACTTTCCTTTATTCCTCACTCACTCCTTTCACTAATTATGTTATTTATGTTTTTATGTCAGGGATTAATTGATTGCATTGAGAATAAGTATCCTGGAGTGGAGCATCGATTCTGTGTTAGACACATGTATGCTAATTTCAAACTGAAATTCAAGGATAAGCACCTAAGAGATTTAATGTGGGGGGCATCTAGGGCTTATTTACCCTGTCATTATGAAAGCAAAATGAGAGAGTAACATTTAGTAGCCCCAGAAGCACATGCATGGCTTAGTTCCATACCAGCTAACCTATGGGCCAGACACACCTTTTCTCCAAGGACAAAATGTGACCTTTTAAGTAATAATATGTGTGAGAGCTTCAATCAATACATTAAGGATGCTAGGGAAGAGCCTATTTTGACTATGTTTGAGGCCATTCGAAGACAGATTATGTGCAGATTTCAAGAAAAAAGAGACTGGATTCAGAAGGTGAAGTCTCATATTTGTCCGAGGATCTGTCAGAAAATTGAAGAGAGGAAAAAACAGGTAGCTCAGTTTGATGCACTTGTGTCTACAAGAGAGGTGTATGAGGTGACTGGTATAGTAGGAACTTTTGCTGTTAATGCAGTTCAAAGGTCTTGCACATGTAATGAGTGGGATATGACAGGAATTCCATGTGTCCATGCATGTGCTGGACTTGTGCAAGACAACAAAGATCCATATGCATATGTTGATAATTGCTACTCAGTAGAAACATATGTAAAGGCATATGCTGGTGTTATTATGCCTATGCCAGACCAAACAAATTGGGTGAATGCTAGCAGTGATACATTACTCCCACCTCGTAAGAAGATAGCTCCAGGCAGGCCTAAGAAAGTTAGAAAAAAGGCTCTATTGGAGGACTTACATGTTGGAAAACTATCTAAAGTAGGGCTGCCAATTCACTGCAGTCACTGTGGTCATACTGACCACAATGCCAGAAGTTGCAAGGTCACTGGTTGTTCATTTGTGAGGCAAAGAAAATCAGTGACTGCACAGGTAACTTCAATCAATATATGTTGCTTGGCTTTTTTCTATCTACATCTGACTGTCATTTTTTGATGTATTGCAAGATGCAAGGGCCTACTAAACGAGGGAGAGGAGCTGGTAGAGGCCACTCTACAAATGCTGATGCTGATGTTGAGAGAAATACTGATGCTGATGTTGTGCAAAATGCTGATGTGACTAAATCTACAACTGCAAGAGGCCCAACTAGAGCTAAAATGAGAGGTAGAGGTAGGGGCAGGGGTAAGGGTAGGGGTTCAGACCATAACAATGGGCCACTATGTGGCATTGGACTTTGGAATGGTCAAGGGATATCAACAAGTAAAACATATATCCCATTTGAGTCTAGCATGGTGAGTTCCTTTTGTATTTGTATGTAACTAATTTAATTTTAGACACTTGCAATGATTAAAAACTACCTTTATTATGCAGATTCCAAGTACTTCAAAGACTGGCCAGCCCCCTCCAACCCAACTGGTGAGCCTACATTTTAAAACTCTGCATGCATGGCCATTTTATACGTGCTCACTTATTGTTTCCTATTGATGATATAGTGGACAAGAACACCTACATCTGGTGCCAATTTGAGTTCAACTACTGTTGTTGCTCCCACCAGCGTACCATGTACAAGTTCAAAAGCAACCACTTCAGTAACAACTAAAAGACCAAGAACCAAGTTGGGTGATGCTAAAACTGGAAGTTCTAAAACCAATTCAGGTGCTACTAAAACTGGAATGGTGAGTTCAAGTCTTTTGGCTATGTTTACATGCTACCACCCCTAGTAGTAGTTTGATGCACTAAGATGCCCCTCATCCATGTAGGTTCAAACCAAGAGTATTAGATTTGGAGATGCTGTGTTTTCTACCCAAGGATCTTCAACTGCTGCAACTGGACGTTCAACAGTTATGCGCACACCTGAATGTGTTTTGATGTGAAATGGTGTTGCTGTTGCTATTTTTGTCATTACTAGTATTTGAAGTTACCTTTGCAGCAATGTTAGAAATGCTGATGTTGTTTTTCTTTTCCCATTATTTGGACATGTTCTAGAATCATATTTTGGCTGGGTTCTACTAAAATGGCCTTTGTTTGGGTGGCCATGCAGACACATGCTAAGATGTAATCTGATGTGTAAAATACTTTTAACTTAATATAATTTTCTTTCATACATATTTGCTTACAACTATGGTAGATAAAGCAGATTTTTGTTACTTTTTGGTTCTGAAATAGAGTACATATACAAAATGCTAGCAATCAGAAATGTAATGGCTAGTGTTTTTCTCCATGATGAAAATCGAGCAGCTTTGACCATCATGTATTGTTGCTGTAGCTGTTGGTTTTCAACTTGTAAGACGCAGACTTCTGTTTTTAAGGCTTCATATCTGCTTTTCAATTTCTCATGCTCATTTGCCAATTTTTCATGCTTCCTTTGCAAGTACATTAGTTTCTCCTTTTGCTCCAGCAATCTAGACTGCAGCACTGCACTTACTTCTTTTGTTTGGCTACATACTTCAGGATCTACCCATTCAAAGTGCCCACATGCGTGTCGGTTCTAAATTAAAAAAATAATTAGTTGTTTAAACTCTTTCTAACTAATTCAGGTATAGAGCAAAATTAAAGACAATATTAACAAATTATTAATGAAAAATTCTTACATTGTAATTTGAGCAGCCGTAAAATCTTCTTCCCGGATTTTCAAGTGTCCAAGACGTGCACAATGGTGCCTCTTTACCACATCCACACATTTTTTGGGGTGATCTTCCAACATCATTTGAAGCACTTTGTGACATTTTATGATGCTTTTGGTTGACAAAGAGAAATTTTAGGAACTTTGGAGAGAAATTTTAGAAACTTTGGAACCTTTGAGAATGTATGAGAAAAATTGGTGCAAAATACCTCCTTTTATAAAACCCAACCAACGGCTAAAACCAACCAACCAACGGCTCTTTGAGGGAAAAGGTAGGCTAAAAACATCAGACACCATTGAGGGGCATTGTTGTCTGCTAAAACCAACGGCCATTTTCGTACGGTGAATTCGAAATCTTAAAGTTTTTAACGGTGCAATTGCTGACGGAAGGGGTAAACTGAGGAAAAACAAACGTTGGGGGGTAAAGTGAGAAACGGCCTATACTTAAATGGGATAAAGTGCGATTAACCCTTATGCCTATTCTTTAAGTGAACTTTCCAATTGTTTCGTTTCTTTTAAGTTTTCACCGCTTTTTAAACTGACTTTCCATTTGGAGAAATTCTGGCAACATTATGAGTTGTATGAGAAATATTAATTTTTTTCTTTTTTTGTTAGAAACAGGGCAAAATTACTAAGTGACAATATTTAATATTTTTTTGTCACCGCATTCAGGGATAGTATTATTGACAATATATTTTGACAACAATACAACTTGTCATAAATAGCTAGTATTATGTGACAATAAACTATATTGTCAATAAAATTAATTTATTTAGGATAAAATTAGATACTGTCACTGTGTGTTGTGATTGAAAACCCCTGTATCTTGTAGTGTTAACCTAACCTATTTAGATCACTTTTTCTTGTATTTCACCTTATGTAAAATGACATTTGCCCCATATGAAAATTTTGGAAAGTTCCAACTCATCATTTTTCAAAAACGTATTTCTGAAACAAGTAGATCTTATTCACGAAACCATGTCTAAATTCATGGTACAAATTTATCTGGCAAGGACATGAACACATTTAGGTATACTAAATTCTTAAAACGTTATTCCAAAGAAAAAAAAAGGAAAATGTTATTAGTGTATGCACATATGTGTGCGTACGCGAAGATGTGCAAAGAATAGTTCACTAATATTTTTCCAAGGTAAGAGTGGATACAAATGTGCTTATATACAAGTACGAATGAATGTGCATATAAAGTTGCTCATATGCTAGTTAAAAATGCAAAATTCATATGTGACCATGTCTTTTGGTGGAGAGATCCTCCAGACATTGTTGTGCCATTTCTAACGTCGGATCTATTAGAAAGTTAATGAAATTTCAATATTTTTTATCAAAAAAAGTACAAATGAATGAATATTAAGAAGCACATGAGAAACTATGTTAGGTCATAGTTGGGTCTATAATTTTGAATTGACCCAACTAGATCTAACCCAATATTAACCCATTTAATAGTTGTGATTTAATTGTAACTTATTTAATTAAAATCTATTTTCAATTCTTTTTTAGTGCAAATGGGAGGTTTTGAATCAAAAATCTCTCACTTATACTCCCTCCCACCATACCACCAATCCAATTCAACCAATACTAACGTATATAAGCAAATGCATTATATTTTCTAAAACCAAATGAATCCTCAAATATTTCCTTCAAAGAGCCTTCCCGAATCCCAGCTAACACATTCCTATAACTAATTTATCAAAAACTCGACCAACTTATAATCTTCGGAATGTGCTAGTCGGAACCAATAAAGTGTTGATTTATCATCTAAACTCTTTTTTTTAATCTAAAATTGAATGTCCAATCATGATTTAAGAAATGACCAGACATAAATACATCAACTAAATAAAATGTTCACTTTCATTCCCACCCTTTAACCAGAGGATTCCAAGGCCCAAAATATAGTATAGTATATTTTGCTCCTACGACCGTATGTCCCATTGGTGATCACACTACCTGAAACTAGCCCGAAATGTTTGGATTCATTTCTAGAAATTTAATCAATACTATATTAATAATATAGTGAAATAATATAATTATTAAGAAAATATATTAAAGAGAATTAACAAAGAGCACATAGGATACGCTTAACAAACAGCTAAATAGCAAAAAGTATGGACGACACCTGGCGGGCCCTCAACTAAATGTGCCAGACATGATGAGTGTTTGATAGAAAATAACAAGATAATTATAAACTAAAATAACTTTATGTTTACAGTAATATTAGCCCTTCTGGCTTGAAGGGTGACATGTGACGAGGTTTAAACCTATGTTCTAATTTAACCTAATTCTCTCATTCATTACAAGTATACAAGTCGTGGCTTGTAGTATCAGAGAGTTAGGATCGATCCCACGAGAATCACTTTCAACTACTAAAGCTTCTATCTCACTCTATTATCTAAATTAATCAAGGATTTTAACTAAGTAAAACCACCATAATGCTAAACCTAATGTAAGGCAAATTAACAACGTGAAGTAATTCAACTAAACACAAGTGTTCTAGGGTATAGAATCCACTAAATGTACCTAATTATGGATGAAATGGTCATTTATCACTAATATTCTTGTCTTGTTAAGGACGCATTTCACTCAAGCCATCGGAACTCGCTCTCGCCAATGAACCAAATTTAGCCAACACTATAATTTCCCTACTCTCGTGGTGAAATCTAAAGTGAAGATTTAATCTGGATCAAGAAATGCCAAAAACATCCACCTAAGTGTGCCACTACTTTCGTATGCCTACTCCTGAGGTTCCACCAATTCCATTTCCATCATTGTGACGATCCCACCTTCTTCTAGGGCGTACCCTAAAAGTTAGCTGATCGTCTGCCTGGCTCTCGTCAGGGCTCACTCACTTACATTAACTTCAGAGATAACATTTGATAAACCCTCTATAATCTTATATATTTTACATTAACTTCAGAGATAACATTACCATTGAACAACTGAACATTCACTCTTAAGTACAACTCCAATCAGCTTGAAACATAAATTTGTCCAATAAAAGAAACAAAATGCATGTTCTAAACATCCATTCTTAATATCACGCCAAACTCAAAACAAAAGAATCAACCATCTCAAAATACAAAAGAAACCATGACTACAATATATACACACAGTAACGGATCTTCCCAAAATAACTCTCTAATTCAATCTAATCACTCTTCAATCTCCAACTCCTGTAAGGAAAACAAAGTTAAAAGGTTAAGCTAAAACTCAGTGAGGTTTCACACAAGCAACAATCAATTAAATACTTAAACAAGTAGAAAAATTAAACAATTAGGAAAAAACTTCACTGAATGGATTAGAGAACACTTCACTGAACAATCACTTTTAAAAGGATACGGTGCTCGCATTAGAGCTACTTCAATGCACTACACACTCCACCGAACTCCTCCTTATAACCTCCAAAACAATAAACACTTCCCTCACTTAGATGGTCATATCAATATCAGTAATCTGCTACTCCGTGGTAATACTCGAGCATACC